TTTAATTTATTTTAATTTATTTTAATTTATTTTAATTTATTTTAATTTATTTTAATTTATTTTAATTTATTTTAATTTATTTTAATTCTGTACTTTTTATTATATATTTGATTAATTTATGATTATAACTCATGTGCTCGTTTTCTGACTTCCCCATAATTAAGTCAATAAATTAACTCATACAAAATTCTTTGACATATTCTCAATTTTGGAGGATTATTTAATTTTACTAACTTTTCAATTTGTTCCTCCGCCAAAAAAGTAAATTGCTTGATATAAATTTTGGCTTGTTCATCGGGCATATTACGAAAAAAATCATAAAAATCTTTTTTAGCACTATTTAATCACAAAATCTTTTTGCCACTTTCACTTTTGGAAAACTTTTTCCCATCTTTATTAGTTAACAAAGGAAAGTTAAAAGCAAAAGTTTTATTCTCGGGGTAAAATCCCCTAATTAATTTTAGCCCAGTAGTCAAGTTTCCCCACTGGTCACTCCCTCCTAATTGCCCATGACAATTGTAATTTTTGTATAAATAGTAAAAATCATAAGCCTGTAAAAGTGAATAATTAAACGCCAAAAAAGATAAGCCAGTTTCGGAATTTACTCGTTGCTTAATTGTTTCCTTGGCTAATAAATAATTGATGCTAATATTTCGTCCCACTTGACTAATAAAATCAATAAAACTTACTTGGCTTAATCAATCATCGTTGTTTAGTATTTTAAACTTATTTTTTGGACCAGGTCAAATATAACTTAAATATTTTTCTCATTTTTTTTCGGTACTATCTTCCTTTTTTATCTTCAATACTTGATATATATTGATTAGTAATTGAGGATTATCCGCATAAAATAGCTCCAAAGGAGCAAAATCTATCTCCTTTTTGTTTTCTGAGATTGGTGGTCGAATTACTATTTGAGTAATTTGGTCCTTTATTGATAGATAATATTGATTTAACTTTTTGGCTTCTAGTTGGGGTCGTTCTTTTAATTTATCACTAGGATCGCCAATTTTACTGGTCGCCCCACCGAGTACCAACAGTATCGTAAATCCTTCCTTAGCAAAACGAATAGTTTGAATAAGTAAAAATAAATGGCCGATGTGAAGACTTTCACCCGTGCAGTCTATTCCCAAGTAAATTACTTTTTGCTGAGGTTCCAACTGATAAAAATTTTCTAAATTAGCGTGATTAGCAATTACTTCTCGCTTTTGGAGGTCCTGAAAAAAGTCTTTGAGATTAGCAGACATATTATTTTAATTTTAGCACAAGATTTTATTCTAACTTTCTTTTATATTAAAATTGTTAAAACCTAATTCCAACAATCTTTCTAATATACGAGTAATATCCTTTTTATCTAACTCTTGTGGTTGGTCTTTAATTACTCGATAAGCAGTTATTAGTTCTTTGTTAAGGTCGTTAACTATTAGCTTGTTTGGTTGAATATTCAAGAATGCTGCACCTCCGCCAGCAAAAGGCTCGATAAAATTTAGAGTAATCAGTAGGCAAAAGTAAATTAATAATCTCCAAAAATTGAGTTTTGCCACCGGCTCATTTGACAAAAGGCTTCATATAATTAATTTTTGTTTCTCAGTCAAAATTACAAATTATTCCGCGATTTTGTAGTCCTTGGAGGGAAATAACCCATTGACCACACATTAACTAATATAAAGGTTCAAATCTAATTTCCCAGTTAGATTGGTCTTTTCTTGTTGTCAAACTTGATAAATTTATAGAAAATTAATGTTTTTTATCTTTCTTACTCAACAATAAACCAACTGCTATTCCGATTGTTAATAATAAGATTCCACCTACTGCTAACCAAAAAACACTATTATTTTTAGAGTGTTCATTAGTGCATTATTATTAGCCAACTTACTTATTTCCTCCTTAGTTAATTTTTGGCTTTTATTTGTTCGGCTAATAACTTTTTGTTATTGATATTTTTTGCCATAATGTTCTGTGTTTATTTTTGTAACCTCTTTATTTATGCTTTTTTGTTTTTAATAAAAAAGTGTATGGCCTGGTTAATTATTTATTTTCCTAACAATCAATTTTTTCAACTTTTTGGCTGTTCTTTAACTTCAACCTTAGCCTTTTGCTTTTTTTTACCTTCTATTTCCTCCTCAAAAACTAAAACTTCTTTCTCGCATTTATAGCCATAAGGATTGTTTAATAGTGTTCTGCTATATTCTTGGTGTTTTTCAATATTACTAATTGACTTAACTATCTTATTAGCAATATTACCTCCTACTGTTACATAAGAATTAACCTTATTAACTTGCTCGTTAACTGTGTCGGCTCACTTAATTAATTTCTCTAAATCTTTCTTTAATTGTTCGTCATCCAATCGAGCCTTCCCTAAACCTTTTTTAGCCAGAGAATAATCCAATTGTTTTTGAACTGTTCTAACTAATTTTTTAATAGTATCTAATTCCAAAGTTAACCCTTTAACCTTGCTATCAGCTATTTTGAATACACCCTGACCTTTTTGGGCATACTGTAAAACAATGCTATCTTTTTTGCTGGAAACTTCCTGTTTAGCAATTTTGCTCCATTCAATTCATTCCTCTTCAGTAGATGTCTCAACTTGGGATTTATAATCGTTTATATCGCTGATAGCTTCTAACAAATTACCTTTTAACCGACTTTCAGTTTTTACTAAGCCACTAATCTTTCGTTGAGGTTGCAATTCTTTTTGTATTGTTTCTTTGCTTATTAAGTCCCAACCCTCACTCAATTGCTCGTCTTTTCGTGCTTGGGCTTTTTCTTCTTCCAACTCAAAGTCATCTAATTCAAAAAGACCTTCTCAATTTTCTTGGTCATATTTTTCGAGAATATCAACAGCACTCATTGGATGTTGTATTTCAACATACTTCTCTTGTCGAGTTTTTTGTTGCTGAATATCATTGATGTGTTTAAAAACCTTTTTGGCTCCTGCTACTTTTTCTCTTATAATTTGTAATACTTCATCAATAGTTTGACCCTTATTACCTAACCTACGAGACTTGGCATATTCAGATAAATCACCTGCTGCTTTTACCGTGTCTAAACCACTAATTTCAACATAATGGTTAACAGTATCAGCAAACTTGCCTGCTCTGGTTAAAATTGGAGAACCTGTTTCTAGACCTTTAACAATTTTAGTTCCTTTTCTAACTTTCCTTTGGTAAGAAGACAATTTTTTATCTACCTTGTCAAAATAGTCAAGAGTTCTTTGGATTGTTTCAGGAGACAATTGCTTATTCAATACTTGATAGCCTATCTTTTTAGTTTGGTTAAACTCGTTTTTAATTATTCATTTATATGTATTGTTAACTTGGTTCATATTTTTGTATTATTATAATTTTATAAATATTTGCAATCACTATTTTTAGGTGGAACTTCAACCGCCTCCTCAACCATTTCTTCTTGTTCCTCTTCGCTACTTTCACTAGTAGTAAAATCATCCTCTCGTTCTCAACTACTTTCGCCTTTCGTTCTTAATCGAGTATCGAGTATTTCTTGAAGTTTGCCTTTATCTTCTTTACTATATAATTCAGTATCTTCTCATCCTGTTATTCTAGTCAAAGAATATTCAAAAATATAAGGTAAGTTATTTATCTGATTCTCATTAAGTTGTAGAGCTTTTAAATTAGAACAACCTGCAATATTTAATTTTTCTAATTCATTATTATTCGAAATAACCAATCCAATTAGTTCTGGATTATGCAAAGTTAGTTCTTTAATGCCACTAACCAAACCAGAAGCATCAATTTTTAATTTTTTCAATCGAGTGTAAGCACTTAAATCTAATGTTCTTCCTCTTACACTAATTTCTTCCATTTCAAACCATATATCAGCTGATTTTGAACTAATGTTGATTTCTTCTACATCCTTATTATAATGTTGTTCAATAAATTTTTGTAGTTTTACCATATTTGCTTATTATTTTTTTTATAAATTTGAATAATTATTAAACTTTTATTAAATTTTATTCTTTATTACATCATCTATTAATATATTATGTTTTTATAGTGATTAGTTAAAAATTTTACCTTCTAATTAATTAAAAAATGCTTTACAAATCAGATAATAAATTGACTTCTCAACAGATAATTTCCAAAGTACCTAACCAACCCGGCTGCTATTTATTCAAAGATAAAACAGGAATAATAATTTACATCGGCAAAGCCCAAAGCCTCAAAAAGAGAGTTAATAGTTATTTCCAAAACTCTCGGGACAATTATTTTTATCAGCAAATCCACAGTTTTAATACCATCGTTACTAACAATGTTAAAGAAGCCTTAATTTTAGAGCAAAACCTAATTAAAAAGCATCAGCCGCGTTTTAATGTTCTGCTTAAAGATAGTCATTATTATCCTTATCTGGAAATTACTGGTGGGGGAAATCCTCGTTATAAAGTAGTACGAAAAATTAATCCAACTAGTCCCAATGAATATTACGGTCCCTTTCCGGACGGCAGTAAAGCCCGAGAAATATTACAACTATTAGAAAGATTATTCCCCTTAGCCAAGTGTAAAGGTAATTTAGGAAAGCCCTGTTTTTATTATACTATCAATCAATGTTCTGGTCATTGTTGACAAAAGGTTGATAAATCCTACTACGAAAATATTAAAAAGGAGGTTCAGAAATTCTTTCGCGGTCAAACTGGAGAAATAAAGAAGAAAATAAAAAGCTCTCTGCGAAAAAATATTACTAACTTAGCCTTTGAAATCGCCCACAAAGAAAAAAAAATACTCGATAATATTGACTTTTTCACTAGCAAACAAAATATTGAATTTATCCAAAAAGAAAATTGTGATTTTTTAGGTATTCACGAACAAGAAAATGTTATTGCCTTTTATCTTCTTATTTATCGTTATGGGAAATTAGTAGCCACCGACCAAGCCGCCTTTCCAGTTTGAGGCAACCAAGAAGAAATTTGCGAAACTTATCTTTACCAATTTTATCAGAATAATTTACCACCGCAAATACTTTATGTTTCAGAAAAATTACCGGGAATTGAGTTATTGGGAGAAGAGTTTGGATTTGATTTGAAATCATCCCAGCGAGGGCAAAAAAAAGAAGTAATCAATTTAGCCTGCCAGAACGCTCAGCAAGTTTGACAAAATAACTATTGAAATGAGTTTCAGCAGGTAAATAAAGGGCAAATATTAACCGAAATAGGCAATTTTTTATCCATCCCCACACCCAATTACATTGAATGTTTAGATATTTCTAACCTTTATAAGCAGGATATAGTAGCTGGCTTTTTGGTTTTTCTTAATGGTGAAAAAAACCTAACAAAGAGTAAATTATACAAGTTAAACAATAGCGAACCAGAAAGTGATTTTGCCCGGATAAAAAGTGCTTGTTTGGCTCATTACAAAAAATATTCACAATTAGACTTACCTAATTTAATAATAGTGGATGGTGGAAAAGAACAAATAAAAGCCTCCCAACAAGCCTTAAATAAATTAGCTTTGACAACGACAATAATCGGATTAGTCAAGGATGAAAAACACCACACAGCCAAAATAATTACTAATGATTTACAAGAACTTGATTTTGGGAAAAAAGAGAGAATCAAGAATTTTCTTGCTAATTGCCAAGAAGAAGTTCACCGCTATGCTATTAATTTTCACCGTAAACTTCATAGAAAAAATGTTTTAAACTAAAATCGAAAGGAAAAAACACCTTTGCAGTCAAAGCGGAAAAAACGAATTAAAAAGGAATGAATAACCAAAGCGGACTAACAAGAGAAAGAAAAAAAATTCAAAAACCTTTAAAAGCAGAGTGTTTTTATACCCCCCCCCCCCCCTTTAAGCAGTAAATGTGCGAAAATCTTTGAAGTTAACTATAATCGCTCTCGTGGTGAATATGTCCAGAGAAATAACTGAGGTTACTGGACCGAAAAAGAGGAAGATAAAGAAAGGTATATTTGTGATAGTTGTTTAATTTTATTTTATAAAAGGGATAAATATACTTTTTGAGAAAAAGTTACTAATGAAAAAAAGAGGAATATACTCCGCACTTATGTCAATAGTAATAAACTTAAACACAAAAGAAAAATACTTCCTTGTGATGGTAATGGTTGCGAAACTGCTTGCTGTTATGGCTGTCAATGTTGTGAAGAAAAAAGCAAAACGATAAATGAGTTAATGAGCCAACTTAAAGAACTAAAAAAAACTTAGCAAAAAGAAGAATTTATAACTATAAAAAAGGAAATTAGTAAATGGCGGTGAGTAAAAAACAAGTATTATGGTAATTTGAAGTTGAAACAAAAAAAATAAAATCTCTTCACAAACTAACAATGATAACAGAGAGAGAGAGAGAGAGAGAGAGAGAGAGAGAGAGAGAGCAAATTCAATCAAACATGAACCAATTACAGTCTGAAATCACTCAGTTAGAATCTAATCCTGCTAAAAACCAAACTGAACTAGACTCTAAAAAAAAGCAATTAGCCGAGTTAGAAACTAAAGAAAAAGAACTAACTAAATCTTTACCACTAACTACTCAGATTAGTATCTTACAAAAAGAAATCCAAACTCTAACTAATAAACCTACTAAAACTAAGGCTGAAGAAAGGGTTTTAGAGAGTAAAAAGCAAGAATTGGCGGAGTTGTTGAGAAAGCAGAATGATTCTAATACTAATAATGCTAAACCTAGTGATAAAACCAAACTTTATATTGGTTTAGGAATAGTAGGAGTAGTTTTGCTTATCAGTCTCTTTATTTTTATAAGAAAACATAAAAAAAGGCCTACTTAGGCCTAAGAATAAAAAGAATAGCAAATTGGTATAACTTAAAAATCAATTGCTACCTGATTTGTTATAAATGGATTAAGTTTCGTGCAGTGATTGTAAATACAAAATTTAAATAACTAAAGACAATAATGCAAATTTAATAAAAATATGGTAAAATTCGAATCTTACAAAATTCCACAAGGAATAAATAATCAAACAACGCAACTACTAACCGTCAAATCAATAAGAAGACTTAGAAGCGATGAACACAAGATGGTTAATTATGACTTTAATTCTCCTTATGAGGTAAAAATAGAAGAAGAAGTCGTATGTGCAGATTCTTACGGGCAAACTTATACTTCCAATTCTATCTGATTCTTTGCTCATGCAGATGACCCCAATGCTAATATCGTTCCGGATGCTGATGTATTTTACTATTTTGTTGACAATTTAGGAAAAAAGGTTCAAATTCCCCTTCGGAATAAGTATGTTGACCAATATGGGCAAAGCATCTACTCAGTAAGAAGCGAGGAAGAAGTTGTAAATTGCATTAACCAAGGAAAAGTTAAATATCAAAATCTAGAGGAAAAAAAGTTAGCCCATCAGGAGATAAAAGGTGAAGACAATAAAGATGAACAAGAGGTATGAAATAAGTTCAATCAATTGAACGGGGAAAATGAAATTTTGAAAAAAGAAAACTGGGAACTTCGTAGCGATTTATCAATAATAGAGAAAACATTAGATATTCGTAGTAATGGAAAAATTGATCAGGTCAAGTTGAATATATATAAGACTTCCAAAAGTAACTTGGATGCTATTAAGAGAATTATTTCTTCTACTCTTGAAGTTGATGATGGAGAATTAAATGTTGAACATCGCACAAGTATTGATGACAACTCAAAATACCCTGAGGAAGGCAAAAAGGAGGAATTTCAGAATTATTCGGAAGGTAGTAATAGTAAGTTTAAAATACACGAAGAAAAAATCACTGATGATCATCAAAGCAAATTAACAGTGTTTGAATCTTATAAAATTCCTTGGGGAGTAAATGATGAAACTAAGCGAAGCACAGGAGAATTAACTATCAAGGGAATAAGAAGACTCGAATATAGAGAGCATGGTTTTGGTGAGGATTATGATTCAATAAATCCTATCTATCGTGTGGATGTAGAAGAAGATGTAATCTATGAGGAAGAAAAATCGGTCGTTGTCTCTCATTTTATACGCTTTTTTGCTCATGCAGATTGTGTTGATGTTAAACCTGCTATGATTAACAATGATGCTCCTATTTTTTACTACTTTGTAGGTAATTTGGGAAAAAAGATAAATGTTCCGCTTTGAAATAAATGTTCTGACAACAATGATTATACCTACTATTCAATAAGAGATGAAAAAGAAGTTTTAGACAGCATTGGACAAGAAAAAAAGAAATGGGATGATTTAGGCTACACTGAAAGGGAAGACCTAGTGCAAAAAAATAAGAAGTTAGTCGACAGGGAAGTTCCTAAAGTTAATGCCCATGAAAGCAATGAATCGCTGGAGATTAGTATAATGATAGCCCCAGTTATGCCTCCTGAATTAAACAAAAAAAAAGATGAGTTCAAAGAGGATTATAGTTGGAAAGCAGAAAAAGTAGAATATAAAAAAGTGCATTTAGAAAGTCACTTACCGTGAAAGATCAATGAAAACAAACTACTTGAGTTGCCTTCTAGACTGATTAACATTAATGATGCTGAGCAAAGTGTCGCAAACGACCGGATAGAAAATATAAAAGCAGAGAAAACTGAAGATCATAGTGACATAAAAAACTATGCTATTCTGTCTTATGTCTGGGGAGAAACCAAGGAAAATGAAAAAATAAGTCAAGGGGGGAAGAAAGCCTTAGTTAAGGCTATTGAAGCATGCAGGTCTCTTGAAATTGGTATTAATTACTTGTGAATGGATCAACTATGTGTGAAGCAGGGAGAAAGCGAAGAAGCGAGAAAGGATAAAGAGCAAGAAATCCCAAAAATGCGACAGTATTACAGTAATGCAAATGTAACTTTAGTTGCGATACATGCAAAACTTGGTAGCGAATTGCCTGCTGAAGATATATTAGAATTGATAATTAACTCTAAATGATTTTCTCGTTCATGGACTTTTCAAGAAGGTTGATTATCCAAACAAGCACTTTTTATGTTTGATGACTACCTAGTTGATGGAAGGATGTTAGCAGCGACTTGAGTGCTTAAACAACCAGCATATACTGACTATGCTAAATATAACGGACTTGAAGAATTTAGAAGAGCCACAAAAAAGATTGCTACTCCTATTGGTTGAACTCACTATAGTGGAGAATATGCTTCTGAAGATAAAGTGTCTTTAAGTCTGAGTCAAGCACTAAGAGCAATAAGAAATCGAGGAAGAAGTGTCGCTATAGATGGTATATACTCAATACTTGGTTTACTTCCATATGGAAATCAGGTAGCAATTAATTATTCAATAGACCCTAAGGATGCTCTGCACAACGTCATGAAAGTTGCTACACAACGAGGATATGGAGAACCGCTTGCTTGGCATGGATTAGGAAGTCAATTATCAGGATTATGCTGAATGCCATTTATAGATGAAACTGGTTCAACTAAGGTTGAAGGAGGAATAAATATTTACTGTAATCCAAGAGGCATTAACTTTACTGAAAGAGGACTCGAGATAGTAGGTTCAAAATACACTATAAATAATCTTCTTAGTAGCACAACTAGCGTAGTAAAGGAAGGATTTACTATGGATGGTGGTGTCTGAAAGAGAAAATTCTTGGTAGAGACTATAGATAGTAAACACAGAAAGTCAGAAATAGTAGCAACCTTTTCAGGAACCCGCGAAACTCTTGAATCAGCAAAAGAAGGAGATGTAATAGTAATAGTTAATGAAAGTCAAATATGAGAAAACAATAAAAAAGAATTCGCTATGTTAGTATCGCGAGAAGGAGGAGTTTATCATAGAGTAGGTTTGGTAGAATTTTATGGTGAATCAGAAAATTTAAAAGGGAAAACCGAAGAAAAATTGACAATTGGAATGATTAACAATTCAAAAGAAAAAACAACTATTTCTTCTCGTTACGAAACCCAAATCCAAATCCCTCCCAAAAATAATTAATCACACTCACACTTCCTCCTTAAAATTATAATATAATAAGTTAACTTAATTTATCCCTTATGAATACTAATAATATCTTGTTATTTAATAGTATATACAATTTTTGTACTTTATCAACTACTTTTAATTATATTTTTAATTGCTTGGTAAGTTTTCTCTAACTTGTCCTCTTCTTGGTGATAAATAAGTATATAACCGTCCGGCTGAACTTCGATGGTGGAGCCAGTTTCCTCAGCAAGTTGATTAATGGTCTTACCCCGCGGCCCAATAATTAAACCTATTTTTTCTTTTTCCACAGCAAAACGGCGGCATTTAATAACTTGGGCTGGTAAATTCGGACGAGGCTGGTAAATATTCTTTTTCATTTCCTCTAACAAACGAAGTCGGACTTGGTGAGCCTTGACGAAGCTCGTTTTTATTAATTCTTGACTAATTCCGTGGTTTTTGACATCTAATTGAATTGAGCAAATGCCTTTTTCGGTCCCGGCAATTTTAAAATCCATTTCCCCCAACTTGTCCTCCAATCCATTAATATCACTATAAATCTGACCTTCAAACAAGCCCAAGGCGATGCCAGCCGCCGGTCTAATTAGCGGAACTCCCGCCGTCATTAGCGATAAAGAGGTAGCGCAAATTGAGGCTTGGGAAGAAGAACCATCTGAGGAAAGAACTTCCGAGACAGCCCGAACTGTGTAAGGAAATGAATCAGAAGAAGGAATTAAGTAATCAAAGGTTTTTTCTGCCAACTCACCATGACCGATTTCGCGACGAGAAACAGCTCGATAACTAGCAATTTCATTAACGGCAAAGGGGGGGAAATTATAATGATGAATAAAATGCTTATAAGAACGGTTGAAAATGCTGTCAACTAACTGTTTTTCGCTGATTTTACCAATGGTTATTACCGAAAGAACCTTGGTTTCGCCCCGGGCAAAGACTGCACTACCATGAACATTGGGCAAAAAGTCAATTTGAATTTCTAAAGATCGAATATGATCGGCTCCCCGACCATCCAGCCGCACCTGTTTTTCTTTTCAGAGCTTCCTCATTCAGTTCCGCAGACAATTATCCCAAAACTCCTCTACCAAGTCTTTCACAAATTCTTCTTCTAGTTGGGGATTTTTGGCACAATATTCTTTGGTTAATTGCTGCCGAACCTCTTTCATTTTTTTTTCCTTTTCTATTCAAGAAAGATTTGACATTAAAAGGACTTCGCCTAAATAAGAATCTCCTTTTTCTTCTAACCATTTGTCACTAGTTATTTCTTTTAATTCAACCTCCATTTTATTTTTCTTAACCCCCAAACTGCTAGCAATATGTTGAAAAAAACCAATTAATGTCTGAATTTTCTGGTGGGCGAATGCGATAGCTTTTTCTAATTCGGTTTCCCTTATTTCTTGGGCTCTAGCTTCCAGCATAGTAACTTTTTCCTCGGTCGCACTAACAATTAATTCTAACGGTGAACTGTTTAACTTGTCACTACTAGGATTACAAACGAAATCCTTTTCTTCCTGACCGACAATTACCGCCGCTAATGGGGTAGAAAAATATGGTAAACTAGGGGCCAGATAACAAACCAAAAATGAGTTTCAAATAGCCACTACTCGTGGATCACATTCGGAGTCCAGCGAAAGAACAGAATTAGTTATTTGGACTTCCTGATTACTAGGAAAAGGAAAAAAACTCCGCAATGAACGATCAATTAGTCGAGCGGCAGTAATGGCGTCGTAACTGGGCCTTCCTTCTCGTTTACCAAAGACATTAGGAATACGACCCACTGCATAAAACTTCTCGTCAAAAGTAATAGTGAGTGGGAAAAAAGAGTTAACACTTTTTGTCAGTTGTTTAACCGTTAAAACCGTTAAAACAGTAGTGTTACCATAACGACAAATAACTGATTTATCACTCTTGCTGGCCAATTGGTCGATTTCGAATATTACTTTTTTATTGTCAAAATCAAATTCAAACCTACTCTTTGAACTACTCGAAAAATTTTGTTTAAAGGCACCTTCACTCATATAAGCATAATTTTAATTGAGGCCGACATGGCAAGGAGTAAAAAAACAAAAACTAATCATTATTAGCAATCCTCCCTATAATGATATAACCTCTTTAAAGGCGAGAAAAATCAAAGAAAGTTCCGAAAATAATCTAATCATTTATCAATTCAAATTCTTTTCCATTAGTGATTAGTTTTAAATCAGTTAACCTTTTTTCGGCTTTGATTAGAATCGGCTCTCATTCGGCTTTGGCTTTTTCATAGACAGTGACATTTTTGTCAATTACTTCATAATCTTCTTCTTCAATTGAATGTTCACTATTGTTTTTTTCATTACCTTTTTCAATCAAAAGAATTCTATTTTTTTCAATTTCCGCCAAATGACCTTTGACATAATCAATTAAATCCACTAATTCTTGTTGTTTTTGCAACTGAGAAATAGTTTGTTTTTCTTGAAACTGACGCCCAAGAGAAAGTGAAGCATAAAAGAATTGTTGAACCTGTTCTGCGGAGGGTCTTTTACTTAAATATTGTTTGGCTTCTTGGTCGTTAATGGCTTTAAAATAAACATTAGATTCGATTATTTCTACTCCGGTTTTCATACCTTCAAGCATTTCTAGATATTGCTTTTCGGTTAAATCTTTGGTAAAGGGAATACTACCCAGACCTACAATTAGGCTTAATATTTTGATGAACATAATATTCTATACTTTAATTTTATTTAAAGGCAAATCTTGCTTCCTTGAATATCTGGGGACAGTTGACCCAAAAATATGGCAGCAAGTCAAAATAACCTTAAAAATAGTTTTAGAATTGGAGTAATCCTCTAATGCTTGGCTAATACAAATCATTAGAGATTACAGGGATTAAAGGAGAAAATAAAAAAAATCTTTTGACAAAAGAAAAAACTTTTAATAGTGTTGGAACACTTATCTTTTTTGAACCTTTTTGGTTATCCTGTCTATTTGCTTGTCTCGGCGATACTGATAAAGGAGAAATAAAACAAAGAATAATATCAAAACTATTAGAAAAACTAATAAACCTCAACTAACTTGTTGCCAAACTCTCTTATTTTTAGTCTGAATTTCCTCCTGTCGCTGTTGAAAACACTTGGGACAAAGATAATAAGTATAATAATCTCGTGGTCTGGATGAATAACGCGAGGAATGATAATTACTCCCTTTGTTAACTTTAATTTCTTTGCTTCCTCAATTGGATTTTGACACTTTTGACAATAACGCTTTTTCGCCATAACAAGATATTCATTTTTCATTACCATAACTTATATTTTCTTGCTATATTAATATTATTTTAGGAAGTAATTATTGACTATATTTATAATTTTAGAACTTATTTCTTCTTCCAACCAGTCGGTTTTCATTCGCTCTTACTTTTGCTAGTTTTCACACTCACCTTACCGGCAATGCCACTAGCGGCCGCACCACCGACACCCGAAAACAATAATCCGCGAATAAAAGCCCCAAAAATAGTTAATAAACTCAAACCAATCAGATATCAAAAAGGACGAAAACCATTGATACTTATTCCTTGTCAGTAGACCATTATTTTGGTTAATAATTCACCGACATATTTAAAGATTTGTAACATAATTTAATTTTAATTTCCCGTGCTAACAGTGGGACCTTGACCAGAACTTCCGCCTTCGGGGACACTTTTTCAATAACTAGCCACTCAGGAGATATTAATGAGGGCAAAAATTCCTAATACCGCTATATTGAGGAGGGGAGGAAAAGCAAACCAACTATATAACATATTGTAATAGTAGATAAAAAGGCCACTACACGCCCCAGCAATAATGAGGATATATTTATTTTCTCAAAAAGTTAAGAGCGTTTTTTTGGCATAACCTCACATTCATTTACCGACTTCTTTGAGGGCTTTAACGAGGACAGTGCCAATAGCCGCGGTTGTTAAGGGTTCGGCCATAATATTAATTTTATATTATTTGTTAGGGGAGTTTTTAATGGCTTGTCAAATATCACTTAATTTTCATAAGTAATGGAGACAAAAGCAGACCATAATAAAGGTAGCAATAATGAGAATTACTACTAACCATTTCGCTCATTTTGGATAATTACAATTACATTTATTTTTTAGTTCTAACATATTTTTTATAATTCTATTTTTTCGCTTTCATCTTCATCTTTTTTCTCTAATTCTACTTCTTTCTTACCGCTTTCCAATTCACCTTCGGCAGCATCAAGTCTTTTTTCTCATTCTAACTGTTTTTTTTGCTCTTGCTCTTTTTTTTGCTTTTCTTCTTTATCAATGAAGTATTTTCCAATTGCTAGGACGACCAAAAAGACCCACGGCCAAATAATATATTTTCAGGCCTCACCATCGGAAATTCATAAGACAAACAAAGACATAGCCACCGTCCAAACTACAAAATAAAAATCTCAATGTTTGGCTTTTTCGCACTTATGACAATGTTGTCTATTGTGTTGATTACAGTTCATGTTTTAATTTTTAACTTCTATTTTTTTTGGTAGCCGCCGCCATAATGGCAATAATCGCACCAATAAAGATAAATATGTAAGTTAACGGGTGCTGGAAGACTACTTTTCAATAAGGTTGGTTAGATTTCATGCCTTCCTCCATGCCTTCGGGTTTAAAGTTCCCGATATTTTTTAATTTGTTGATGGCTTGGAGACTATCAGCAAAGGAGAATTGACCGCTAAAATTGTTGTCAGTTTCGGTGCCCACGCTTTCGTCGCCAGCTCCCGCTTCTCGGTTGGCATTATCTTGGAAGTAAGAACCTCATTGGTGAGCGTTTTCACCCGTGGTAAAGCGTTCGTTTTCTTCGTTTTGCATGTTTTCTTTTTGGCTGTCGTCAGCCTTCTCGTATTCTTCAAAGCGGTCGCGTCGTTCTTGGGTGTCTTCACCGGGGGGACCATAGCGAGGGTTTTTATTAACTTGTTCTTCGAAAATTTTATCTTTTTCCTTAGACGAACGACTATTATGTAAGGTTTTGGCTAGGTTGCCGGAGGTGATTTCTCTTCATAAGGTTTTTTTGTCTTGGGGATTGGCTTCGGCTCATCTTTTTTTGATTAATTCTTTGTCGGAAGGGGTAAAGACCGGGTTATTGTCGACCATTTGGTTAAACATGGCCTCCCGGGTTTTTTCTTGGAGATGTTCGAACATTCGGTTTAGCATTTCCGCAACTTTTTCGGGTTTATTAGAAGCAGCAAGTTTTTTGATGATGTTGGCGATATGAGCGGGGTCAGTGAAGGCAGTATTTAGAAGGTCAAATTCTTCGCGAGTTAAGCCCATATCTTTTAAATCTTGGTCGGTGGGTTCTTTTCTATTTTTATCTCTGCTTTCGGGAGTTTCATCCTGCGAACGGCCTTTTTGGTCTTTATCTTGACTGTCAATGAGTTCTAAGGCGTCAGGACCAATCCGGACTAAGGTGCCTTTTAGTTGACCGACTAGTTGGGCCAGGGTTTTGACATTGTTAGCAAGGGTTTTACTGTTAATAAATTTATCATTGATTTCTTGGGTGGAGAAGTCAGAAAAAATTAGGTAGTGGGAGAAGCCATTGTTAGAGTTGATGGCATTAGGTCTGTCACCAAATCAATCCTTATCATCTCATCCAAAATCCATTTGGTTAGTAATTCATAAGATACTTTTTCGGGGTCCATTGCCTCAACTAGCAATTTTACCAAGTCCCATTGGTTTAAAACCACCAAATAATCCTTTTTCTTTCAATTTTCCTATCAAATGGCTAGTGTCGTCCAAATCAAAGGCTTTATCATAAGTTTGCATCCAACGAGTAAACTTCATGGCTTTTTGTTTGACATTGGGGACACCAATTTGAATTTCGCCGTTTTTGCTATGTAATCAATTTTTTCATCCATATTTTTTACTCCTTTGGTCGTCTTGTCGTTTACCACCAATTAATAATTGTTCTCTCTCTCTCTCTGTTGAAGGTGGTTCCTCATCTTTAACTAATCGTTCATAACCTTTTTTATCCGAGTTTTTGGCTCAAAAGAAGTTGTGGTAATTTTTAGTTTTCTCTATCCGTCTAAAAAAAAGGAGCAAAGTAACTAAATTACCTTCACCATGTCAGAGAGCAGCAGCAGTAGCGGGGTCTTTGACAGTTCAATCGGGATAGGTGCCACCTTGAAAAGGAGAAGTTTCATAATCAATGTTATAGTTTATCGCCAACCACGGCAACTTAGCTGCTTCCTCTTTCGTAATAGAACCTAATGGCATACCTAAACCAGGAGATGGAGTAAAGGGTTGGTCGTGGCCTTGTTCTTTACTGTCTTTATCTAAGGCACCGGATAAGGCGTTGAGGGTATCATTGAAATCCGAGGAGTTAAACTCGGTATGCTTAGGAGGTGGAGTTTCTTTCCCATTCAATTTATCCTCCGCTGCTTGTCGCGAGGGTGATTTATCCCTTTTTTTATCCTTTTGCTCCTTCTGGTCCTGGGGTGGCTCCTCCGGCTTAGGTTTGTCATTATCATCTATATTATTAGTTTTATTATTTTTAGTTTCTTGGTCTTTTTCTTTTTGTGGTTTAGTCTGCCACTGCTGATACTCCTGCTTTATCTGCTCCATATCCCCTTCATTTAGCACTTGCTCGGGGGTTAATTGTTTAATATCCCGCAAAAATTGGGCGTATTCGGCTTGGTTGGATTGTAAACCGATATCAATTCACTCTTTGGCGGTTTCATAAGTAAAACCTTTGGCGGTTCAGGACTTAATTAAGGGGTCATTATTGCGAAATTGGGGGTTAATATTAGCCCAATCCGGGTTTTCTTGTGCTCTCCTTCTTTGGTTTTCCGCTTCTCTTTCTTCTCTTTCTCTTTGCTCTCCCGCATAATCACGGTGGAAGCCGTCAGCAGGTTGGGGTTGCGGTTCTCAGTCTCCCCCCATTTGTTCTTTTAAAATGGCTTGGCTGACTTGGTCAAGGATTTCATTTTGGATGGCGTTAAAATCTTGTTGGGAAGTGGGAGCGGTGGGATTAGCGGAACCGAACATTTTCTGAAATAAGTGCTCGCCTTTGGCGGAACCGAATTTTTGTTTTAAGCGGTCGCGAGTGGAGTTGACAAACTTTTCTCATTGACCCATGCTGACATTGGGATTAGTGCCACCCGTATGATGCTGGCGAATTAAGATATCTAATAATTGGACTTTAACTCGTAATTCGTAGATAGTTTGGAGATAAACCTTTAAGGCGTCTAAGCGGGGGCTATATTTTTCGTGGGTTGGGTGGTCACTTAATACACCGCTATCTGACATTCTTTCGGCGGGGCTAATATCCGGATAATTGAGACTACCCACGCCATGTAAAACCCGTTCGGGGTTAGCGTAGAGACCGAGACGGAGGGAGGAAAATCATTGCTCATAGGCACTAGAACTAAACCCAAAATAATCGCTGCGGGCAAAGTGGTCAGCAAAGTATTTCATGGCCTCGCTGGATAGTTCCTTGTAATATTGAAAATTCTTGTAGGCCATTTTTTCCTGTGGTCCAGCATAGTCCTGGCGACCACTAAAAAAAGGTTCTAAATTATTACAAACTAATTGGTAGCGGTCAATTTCGCTTTCCGCGAGAATAGCCTGAAAAACAGCTTGGGTGAATAATCTTTGTTTAACTATTGGCCCCGCTCGTTCGAAGAAATCTCAGATTTTGGGGGCACATCTTTGATAACCTAAGCGAAAATTCTTTTCTTCTTGTTGGTTTAAAACAGGTAAACCTAATTGGGGATTACTGCTCTGAAAGTGGCGATAAATTTTTAATTCGGCTTCGGCTTCCAAAGTTTCTAAATCTTTGTCGGTAAATTTGCTAACCATAATTTTTTAATAATTGTTGATTTGGGGGTTGTTGAGAGATTATTTTTTTCTCTTTTAGAGAACCATTTTTTTCAGGCATAAAGGGCTTTAAAAAGCCATGAAAAAAATTAAAAATAATTGGAAAAATTTTGAGTTAGAAAAAAGAGGAGACTTGACCTTTCAAGTGTGGAATTTTTTACCACAGACTTGCGATATTTGCGGAAGTCAGGAAAACCCGGCTGACCCCCTTTTAAAATGTGGTTATGGTTGAGCCGATAACGAGGATGATTTTTGCGACAATATCATTTGCCGACAGTGTCGGGTTGAGGACCGAGACAATAAGCGAGTAATTTGTGGTTGGTGCTTATAAGACGCCTTCATAATTCATCATCGGAACGACCTTAGCAGTCTTATCCAATTTGCTGAAAGAATAAGGAGTAATTATTTATTTTTATTATCTTTGTTATTCTTTGGAGGGCTCGCCGTTTCACGGCTCCGCGGGGTCTTAGAGGGTTTTTTGTCTTTTTTGGTAAATCACTTTTTAACTTTTTGTCAGAAAGTAGGTTGGGGTTTTTCTTCCACGATAAAGAATTTATCTTTGATAACGTCTTTTAAGGCATCAGGAACAGGAATTTTACCCGGAGGAACGGAGAATTCTGGTCTATTTTTATTTAATAATGGCAATAAGGCTTTAAAGAATTTAGTGTCGTAATTTTGGAAGTCTTTTTTCTTTAAGAACACTTTATATTCTTTAATGTTTAATCTTTTTTTGGCTTGTTCAAAATCACCACCACTGAAAAAGGAGAAAAAACCACCTTTTTGGTAAGGGGCCATATTGGAGGACCATTCTTCGGCTAATTTAATGTCTTCGTAGACTTCAATTCTTAACACATTACACCAAGGGAGGAATAACGGCGTGTAAATACCTTTAACTTTGATATAAATATTGGCGATATCTCTTATCGCGACCCATAATTGGTTGGTGCGTTGGACACTGAAAAATATTTTTTTATCGAAATGACGAGCCAGAGCGGCGAAGTCTTCTTTCCCCAGATGGTCTTTACGGTTTTTGTCTACTTGGACACCCCGAAAGTATAAATTGACTTCATCCACAAAATAACTAGCCGGTTCTTCGGGTATCTTATACCGACCTCGCACATCCATATAATCCATTAATAACACTTTATTTCCTTTCTTTTTATGTCAGAAATTAGTATAAGTATTATCCAGTCGATTAACTAATCAGGAAAAAAGGAGACTTTTTCCCTGTCCGAGCGAACCAAACACCACTGCTAAACTCACTTGTTCTTTTACTAACCGCTTAAATTGATACTGTTTTCATCAGATAAGTAAAAATTGGATTAAACCAACCACTAAGCCAATTATTAGGCATCATTTAATTATTGTTATTGTATTTACCATTTTAAGCAACTAATTATAAAGCACATGGTTTTTCAGACTATTCAGACTAGTTTGTAGAGCAAAAACACCACTATTAAGGCACTCACTAAAATTACTACTTGCTGAATTAACGGAGTTCTTTCCGCTTCCAATCCTTGATAAATCACCTTTTCTACCAAATCACGGATAAACTTTAAGGAGCCATTGCTAAATAAATCATTTCAATTCATAATTTCTTACTTTTTGCCAAAGGCTCACCTAATTAATAAATAAGGAGTTAACGCTATCAAAACCAACAGTCAAAAACCAAAGAGAGCAGCAATTAATCAGATAATATCTTTGGCAAATTGGCCAGTAATGGGGTTGCCATTCATTTTTTCGGCTAATTGTAAGAATGTTTGATAGACTCCGTTCATTTTGGTTATTTTTGGTCCTTATTCTCGTCCTTGCGAATAGTGGCGGTTTGTTCTAATCAACCACTTTTACCCCAGGTCTTTTGGCTTTCCACATTGCGTAAAAATCCACTGTATCAGTGCGTTTCATTAGTAAACTCATTAGTAATCTTTAAGACTACTTTTTTATATTTTTCGTCGTTTTTTTCGTATTTAATTACATAGATTTGCATAATTTCTAAAATTCTTTTTTTTGTTGCTTTTCTCATTCGGTTCAGTGTTGTTGTAGTTGCGGACAAACATATTTCTCATCAGGGTCCTCTTTCGCTCTTTGACAACCTCAACAACCGGAGCGTCAAATTTGTTGTTGTCACATATTACTTTAAAATTTCATTTTCAACTATTTTTTTCGCTTCATAATCGCGGAACTTATTGGCTAAGCATCCATAACAAGCCCCAATATTAGGACTTCATCGCACTCAAAATTGTTTGGTTTCTTTTTCCTTTTCACAATAGATACAAATTCGGATCATTTTTTTTTTTTTTACTTTTTTTTAATTAGGGCAATCAGAAATCACAGTAAAATACTTAGTCCAGAAAACCAGTAAATTACTGCTTTGATTATTGCTCAATTTTCTTTTATTTTACTTCAAATATTTAACATAACACTTTGCTAGCACATATTTTCGCTCTTGCGTTTTTTTAGAAGCCAGTAATCATCTTGCGGACGGTTTTTATTCCCATAAACACCAGGTAGAAACCCAGTGGCAGGAGTAAAATCGGGTTAGCTTGGATAAAACCAAACACCCGGGGCACTACCCCAGCGACAACTCCACCAGTTCCATCAGCGGCGGGAGCTACTCCGGTCCGGAATAATAAGTCCCAAGCATGACCAACAGCTTCTCAAACTTGCTCTATCATAGTTTTTTGGTTTTGTTTTTCTATTTTTCCTGTCTAGAATGGAAGGGGAGCCCAACTAACAACCCTTGTTTTTAATAATCAGCGTATCTTTTGGCGGCCTCATCAGCATTTAAGCCATAATCAGGAGTATAATGGCTAATTTGCGAGCGAATTTCTTTTAAATAGATATGGTTATAAATTAACTCGGGCGGAATATTGGCTCGCCATTCTCGACTGTCGGCACTTTCGCCATATTCTGCTAATGGCTCGTATTCATTAAGGGCTTTATTTCACGGCAATTTAGCCGCCTGGGCAAATTTGATATAATCCTGGTCGTGGGCTTGGTAATCTGGAAATTTAGTAAAGGACGGTAGAGTTATTTTTGATAGAGCGGGCCGGATATAAGTTTGATAACTCTGATAAGACTTTTTCCCTTTAAACTCAAACTCTCACCGGATAATTGGTTCGGTGTGGTGGTCCTTAGTTATCGGACAGTGGAGTTTTCAGCCTTGACCCTTTTGTCAGGTGCTTTCCTCGGAGGTGTCGCAGGGTTTTCAGAACTGGTTTTTTTTAATTTTGCTGTGGGAGGAGTAGCGGAGACAGAGTTTTAACAGGTCAGTTATTTTGCCGTTGTTAGCGGGTTGAGGTTCTTTTTGTTTTAATATTTGCCGAGCCTGCTTTTTTAGTCGTAAATTTTCGTCAAAATAATCGCTAAATTCTTTTTCAACTTGCTCGGTGAAGCCATAATCATTATTGATAAAGACTTGCGAGGAAATGAGTGGTTTTTTTCTTTTTTGAGCGATATAAGTTCTTTCGCCATCGTAGCCATAGATAACGCGGAAGAATTTATAAATACCCATCCCTGGTAATAAACCAACTTTTTCGGCTAATTCTTTGTTTTCTCGCATTTGAAAGGATTTGGCGAGGTATTTAATGAGATAAAGAATAACGCCTTCGGCACTACGAATTGGTTTTCCGCCAACTCGTAAATGGGATACTCTTTTCATATCGACCAGACCATAAGGTCAAATATCGTGAGCGATATAACCGCGATGGTCTCAACAACCAGAAGGGGAACCAGCATCAGAATATTGACCTAATCCGCATTTTTGGTGGTGGTATCTCGCGGGGAGAAAATCAGTTGAGAGCATGTGAATATGTCAATTTCTTAGACAATCATGTTTTTCGGCACAATGACAGGCTTTTTGGTTATGTTCTTTTCAGGAGCTTTTTTTCTGTTTTTTCTTGGGTCAATGACATTTAGTTTGGCATTTATGCAGTTCCGGCACTGCTACTCATTTAAAATTAGTTGGTTTTCAATGCTCATGAATAAAGCGGAGAGCGTAAGCAAATAAGTCATTAACTCCCTCCAAATCTCGGTCTAATCTTTTTTTAGCGGTTTTCTTTTCGGCTAAAAAGGAGCTGGTGGCGATAGGGACAGTTTGGTAAAAATGGGGTTGTTGACAATTGGGGAAAGGGCAGTTTTTCCCTTTGGTAGTTCCTAGGGTAAAGGAAAATTTTAGTTCTTTTTGAAAGTTATTAAAAGTAAAAGTAGAAAAATAAAGACCGCGGGCAAAATCCTCAGCGGTGAAATTCATTATTATACTGTTCTTGAAATTGCGTAAAGAAGCGTAATAATGACCTTTATATTTGAGTTGTGAAACCAAATTATAAAGCTCTTTTTCGGACTCTTGGTCGTGAAAAATTGGCTTGGGTAGTTTTCTTTTGCCTTGTTTATAAATGCCTAAATTGACATTACCAAAAGAGACCTTGGCTTTTTTTAGATTAGTTCCAAAGTCCGTGAGTGAAAAATTGGCCAGTTTACCAGAACTAGCACTATCAGTAAAGAGGCCCGCCAAGCCTTCCATACTAACATTTTTAGGGTTCGTAGTAAATTCGTTTATTGTATCAAGATTTTAATTAATATTTTTTGCTTTGCTAAATTAGTTTTTATATTTCTTGATGATATCTATTTGACTTCATTATGTTATTTTTCGACCAACCTCCTTTCACAAATTATACAGTAAAACAAATTATATTAATCTGTAATATGACGAAAAGAAAAGTAAATTGCCATTATGAACTACTTTGTCTCCTCAACGAAAAAGAGAAAAACAAAGAAAAATATGAGAAGATAATTAATAGTATGAAAGACTTTTTGGGAAAAGAAAACATTGAAAAAGTTGAAGAACAAAAATGAAAACCAGTTTATAAAATTAGTAAACTCGGTCAAGCCACTTATATTCTCATTTATTTCACTTCGGAAAGACAAAAAGCCAAAGAATTAGAAAAAAATATTTTGCAAACTGCTCCTAAAGACTTTCTCAATCGTTACCTCCTACTAAATTTGGAAGACGAAAAAAGAAATAAAATTAAATTAAAAAAGAAAGATGCTGAACAAAATTAAAATAATTGGCAAAGTACTAATTAATAAGGAACAAAACGAAAAAAGAATTAATGATATTGATGCGATAAATGAGGTAGATAGATCACAATCCAAAACTGAACTAAAAAAAGAACCATGAATTTATTTTAGTCTGTTGGTTACGACTCCTAGTGGCTCGTCAACTATTTTGCGCTGTGTCACCCAAGGGGAAATGGCGGAAAGAATCATCAAAGAAGTTGAAGAAAATGAAGTAATAGAAGTCCGCGGTTATTTAAGAAATGAAAAAGACAGCCGACAAATAATAACAAAAGTAGTAGATTTTAAGAAACTTGAGCAGGATTTTGATGAAATTAATCTTGAAAATTCTAATCGAGTGCGATTACTCGGTAAAATAATTACTGATTTGCAAGGTTCAGAAAATAAACAAAACTCAGAAGTATTATCTTTCAAACTAGCTGTTCCCCGCGAAGGAGTCAAATCACCACTTTTCTTTTGCCGAGTCCACGGAAAATTAATAACCGAATTTAATGAAAAATTAAAAAAAGGTGATATTATTCTCCTGGAAGGATTTTTACAAACCAAAAAAATAGAAGAAAGTTTCGGCGAAGAAAATGAAAAAAAGTTCGCACGAATTTCCTCAATTATTTGTCAAGGATTTATTTTTTTGGAC